TTTTAGTATCGCACGTGAAACGAAGTTTAATGAGATTAAATATTTATGTTTGAGATGAATTTGTAACAGTCTCGTTATTTTTACGTCGGGTATTCCCATGAGTGGTTATAACAGAGTTGTTTAAACATTTTTTTTAATATTTCCTATACCGAACACAGAGTCGTTATATACAGTGGACTTTAGAGATAGAAGTGTTATTCACACTTAGCTTTTTTTGCTGTTTATTGCTGCGTTTCGCATAAAACGGGAATAGAGTAGAAAATTCAAGAACTCACGCGACACAACTTTAGAGGCGATGATTTGTGTTCCTGTATTCGTACTAGAGAAAATTATTCCATTAGATAGGCTTTACACTGGCCGTAATACAAAAGAAACAAATAATAAATCTAGGGAGAGCCAGACTCGGAGCGGGACCGGGAGAGGTTTAGGACTCTGGGGGTGACAGGTGAGGCCATCTGTCACCCTAGCAGAAGCAGGCCGGGGTGGCGGCGAGCGCGTTGCGAAGCGCGCTCGCTTCCAGGGAGCACAGAGAACATGGGGTTCCCACACGGGGAGGGGTCGTCTACTCGTCTGTAGATGACCCGAGGTATGTCGGGGCACTAGGGACTTCCTTTCTAGGGTATACCTGGTTCCACGGCTATTAGTACCCGAGACGGCGTGCGGTTTTAGTCGGTTCGAGTCCGAAATGCCACCGACAGGTGGTATCCGAGGGGTTTTCCGCACGGAAGGCACATGATGAATGATGGCCCATGAAAACCGATGATAAGTATGTTAAGTAATTCTATAGTTGCAGTGAACCACCGATAAGATCAATAAGATTACCGGAGTCCAAAATAACCTCCGTTCTTCTTCAATCCAGGGCGTAGGCAAATGCCAGAAAAATACTTGTTTTGAATATTTGTTTACGGATTAATTTAAATTCGGCATACAGCTAAGTTGCATCTTGAATACCCCATCAATCATCAACAGCTTTTAATAGTCCACTGCTGGACATAGGCCTATTCTTAGAAAGGAGGTTTTGGCCTACTATACCACGCTTTCCAGACGGGTTGGTATAGGGTTTGTTTCAAGTTTTCAATCTCTTCGCACTGCTGATGTCATGCGTAGTTTGCTCCCTTAGTCGACTCTTACGACACCCCCGGGATTAATAGGGGTGGTGACACTCCGTATTCTTAATCCGACATAAAAGCCACTTGTTAAGAAATACGTGAGTACATGGTGCAAACTGAAATGTAATTCTGAATTCACAAAAGAGTAGAAACATTTTTTTTTGTGGTGTAAATATATGGCTCGTTTGCCCCAAAAGGAGCAGCCAAGTCAACGAATTGGAAGTGACTGTCGCCGCCTATGAACACCTGTGACTCAGAAGTCATAAGTGAACCATCAGAGACCAGAATTCACCTAGGATTATATATTGGGGTTCCACACTCGGTGGAAGCAACGAGAGAATTATTTAACACCAGGTTTCTGTAAGGCCGTTCTATCACTCTGGTTGGCCATTTGTGTTGAGGCATAGCTCGCTGCTCTCAAACGACATACCAAGTTATTCCCTCGGTGCAGTGGTAGCGTATACGACTGTTGTGCTGATGTCTCGGGTTCGATTCCCGGGTGGGACCAAATGTTTGTATGATCTGCAAATATTTGATTCGGAGTTTAGGTGTTTTCTATGTATAATTTGTATGTATTTACAAAAAAAAGTAAATAAGTACTATCAGTAAATCTAACTTTAATAGAACAAGCTCTGATTAGTTTGAAACTAGATGGCGTTGTGTGTCAGATGTCCGAAATATTATTATTATGATCCTGCGTGTTCCGGTTCGCCCCGATATTATCCGTGCAGTGTGAATACTCTTTATTAAGCGCGTAACGCTTTATGTCACCGCACAGTCTGTCAGCCAATCAGTGTACCGTGAACGGAATAATAATTGTAGCACGTATATAATTGTAATATTGCACAGCACTAGCATAGTTTTTCACTGACGCCGTTATGTACAAGCAATGTAATATGTTATAGGCGTGTTTAAAATATATTTGAATTCTATCAAAGTACCGTTTTGTAGTCAACATATATGGGTATTTTGTAAGTAATGATAAAAATAAATGCACACATCACACACACGCCAGTTTGATTCCAAACTAGGAAGAGCCTGTGCTATGGTAACCGGACTGCTGTTAAACATACTTATATATTTCTAAATACATACGTATTATAGATAAATTACACTCGGGCACAAAACAAATCATCTTGCTCATCTCACGATTATTTGTCCTGGGTGGGAATCAAACCCACGACCCCATCTTAGCAGTCAGGGTCACTAACCACTAGAATAATAGGCTCGTCAGTCAAATCAAAATTTTCTATGGTTTAGGGGGCAAGGTACGAGGTTATCGGTTGCCACCCTTTAAGTCCTTTTCCCCTAGAATCAAGGGAGGAGTAAATTTTACTCATGGTGCCAGTTCCTGTTCATCTCATGGGTGTCGTAAGAGCCGACTTAGGGAGAAAAACCCCGTATCGTCTGGTCAGCGTGGTATGGTAGGCAAAAATCTTTTTTCTAAGGAGAGGCCTATGTCCAGCAGTGGATTATTAATCCCTGTTGATGTGATGTGATGAACCTAACTCACTAAATGTAAAGCAAAGAAAGAAATACTTAACACCAGTTTTCTGTGAAGCCATGGTAACACTGCTTTGACTTGCCTTTGACTTTGACTGCACGGATGGCGTAGTGGTTTAAGCGGTCACTTGGCTGCTTCCTATTGCGCTGAGTGTTGTGGGTTTGATCCCCACATGGGACATCACTTTGTGTGATTTACAAATCGTTGTTCTGAGTCTGGGTGTTCTTTGTGTCCGTTTAATGTATGTTTCTAAAGTCCCGGGCGTTGCCCTTTATTAAAAAAAAAAACACCGATCGAATGGCAAATTTATTTTGTATCGAAGCATCGAAAAATATAATGGTATTTTTTTGGAACGAAGTTACACGCTCTGAGCGGATGGAAGTTCTTAAACCATCACCACACGGCCAATGGTTGATGTTGGGAAACTGTTTTTTTTTAATAGTAATAAGGGGGCAAACGAGCACATGGGTCACCTGATGGTAAGCAACTACCGCCGCCCATGGACACCTGCAACTCAAAAGTCACAAGTGCATTGTTGCCCTTGGAGTCCCTCTCGCTCCCTCTCTCAGGGGGAGATTTAGGCTCCGGTAACCTCACTCACTTAGTGAAAGGCAACGAAAGAATTGCTTAACACCGGTTTATACTAATCATTGCGAGAACTTTCATTGCGCGAGCCAGAATTAGTTATTACTTCGACGTTCGGTGTGCCTTCGTTAGATGGCGCAGAAGTATGTTTATTTTTTGTAGTATGTCGAAGGCGCCACAGTAGCACCAGTACCTAACTTGCAATTACCGGGTAGTCCAAACCTGGAAAGTAATTTTCGCATGAAAGATTAATAGTAACTGTGTTATTAGATTCGAAACCCATAACTTTCTACCGCCTTCGCTTACAAATGAAGGTACATAATTCTATGACGTGTGACCAGCACGTTAAGTGCACACCCACTAAAAGTGCAAAAGACAAATGTCTCCATTCTATTTGGGTGTCACGCACTAAGCGAGTACTATGCATATTAATACCTTATGCAATACTACAAATTGGTACCCACGGTTTATTGTAATTAGCTGTATAATTACTGATAGTTTTTATCCCTGTGGTGACGGAATAAGGATACGGAATGTCACCATCCCTATTCATCCCGTGGGTGTCGTAAGAGCCGACTAAGGGAGTAAACTACTCAGGACAACAGCACTGGAAAGAGAAGAAAAACTTGACACAAACCTTATACCAACCCATCTGGCTAGAGTTGTTTAGTAGGCCAAAACCTCCTTTCCAAGGAGAGCCCAATGTCCAGCAGTGGACTACTAAAGGCTGTTGATGTGATGATGTGACTTACTTACTACACCATGCTACATCATTTATTTTTTTTGTACTTTTTTTTTGATAATTTTTATCTGATTTTTTGGTTTATGATTGTGTTAATTGTGTTTAATTTGGTACAATTTCACTATTAACAGTATAAGCTAGTCTGCTGATCTCGTAAAGTGCATAAGCTTTTAGTTAACTTTTAGTTGTATAGTAAGGTTGCTATTTTGATTTTTTATAAGTTAATGTTGTCTATATGTGAATGCTGTGCATATTTGTAATTAGAGTAGCACGTGAACTAAGTTTGAAATAATTATGTAAATGAATGTTTGTGTTTATTCTGTAAATATGCCCTAATCTATACTAATATTATAAAGCTGAAGAGTTTGTTTGTTTGTTTGTTTGTTTGTTTGTTTGAACGCGCTAATCTCAGGAACTACTGGTCCGATTTGAAAAATTCTTTCAGTGTTAGATAGCCCATTTATCGAGGAAGGCTATAGGCTATATATCATCACGCTAAGACCAATAGGAGCGGAGCACCAATGAGGAATGTTTCAAAAACGGAGAAAATTTATTACTATTGAGAGACGCAGACGAAGTTGCGCGGGTCAGCTAGTAAATAAATAAAATAAATGACGAAAAAACTGTGTTCTTCATTCCTTACTTTTTAAGGTAGAATTTATTCTTTAAATTTAAAGGGGTGTAAACGAAGATACCCTTTTAAATAATAATAATCTAACAGATTCACACAACGCCATCTAGTCTAGAATTAAGCAGAGTTTGCACTATGGTTACTAGAAAACAAATATAAATATATTTAAACCTTTTTTTTTGTAAATACATACAAATTTTCAATAGATACACCCAGACCGAATTAAACATTAAATGTTCATGCACACAAATGTTTAATTTGACAGGGAATCGAACTCGCGACCTTTGGCGTTGGAGTCTGTTGCACAAACCACTACGCGATCTGGCCATCCTTAGGCCATACCTTTTCCTCCTAGAAGCAAAACAAATTTTCTTAGTTAGCATCAAAAATAAATTATATGTTAAACTATTAACAATTCATTTGTTCCAGGTCATGTCCTGGCCTCAAGAAAATCTACCTAATAGCAAGGCCAAAGAAGAATAAGGACACCGCCAAAAGACTACAGGAACAGTTTGATGACGTGGTGAGTACTGAACCTTTTGGATTGACCTTCTCACTTTTGCGCAATTAAAAGAAAATGTTACATGATTTTTAGAAAAGTAAGTAAGTTAACAGTAGTAAACTGAATTCTTTACTTTTTAATTTGCCATTCTTAGGGTGATATTATTCTTCACATTTGAATTTTTCCTACACGATAAGGAAATATTCCCCAGCAATTAAAATAAAAAGCATAAGAGATGAATTAATTAGTTTGAGTGCTGTGATAACAAACATGAAAATAAATACAATAGAATTAAAAAACCTCTTCTTTTAAGTAGGTCAAAAATACAGATACTCGTAAGATCAACAGACACTACGTTCTACCAAGTTCTAAATACACTCTACTAGTGCCAAAGCGTGATTCTCCCACGGATGGACTCCTCATCATGTTTATTACCTCAGAACTGCTGTATTTGTAAACAGATTTGGAAAATTCAGTTTTTTTGTCGGTTACACCTGCTAACCGTTTGGTTACATTCTAATTTGTATAAATTTATACCACCCCTAGAGAGTGAACCCCTATTCATCCCGTAGGTGTCGTATGAGCCGACTAAGGGGGCAAACTACGCAGGAAAACAGCACTGCAAAGAAAAGGAAAACTTAAAACATACCCTATACTAACGCGTCTGGTCAGTGTAGTATAGTAGGCCAAAACCTCCTATCTAAGAAGAGGTCTATATCCAGCAGTGGACTATTAAAGGCTGTTGATGATGATGGAATAAAATACAGATTTACTTTACAGATACTTAAATGCAATGGATTGTAAACGCAATGAAATCATTGACACTTTTAAAGGTTAATTGTTTAACCCAAATGGAATAAATAGTGATTGGTTGTATTACTTTCCAGCTTTACGACAGGTTACGCAAAGAAAATCCGGACTTCATAAAGAAGATCAGTATTATAGAAGGTGATATAGGACAACCAGATCTTGGCATCAGTCCCGAAGACAGAATCAAAATCGCCAACGAGGTATGTAAAAAGAAACAAGTACTTCGACTTAACCAACGAAATAACTTAAAATGGTTATTTTGTTGCGTTGTATGCTGTGGAAGATGTATGCTATAACCTGCTTAAAGGATTGAAAAAAGCTTCAGTAGGCTCTTTTCCTGAACGAATATCCAAAGCGGTATTGCTAGATTCGTATCAAATATGTATGGTTAAGTAGAGGTTGTACCACAGCAGACAGTGAAGGTGAGCGCTAACGCGTCGCTAGGAGTACTCCCTAATCATATTCCTGGGTTGCAATTCCCAGGCGCTGTCGAAGTCACATGTGGTGCCAAATCTATCACGTGATAGACCTGGCACCCGCACGGTGAATCTAAGCAACGCTAAGAAATAGGTCTTGTCTTATCATTATCATTCCTTCGGCCATAAACATAGGCCACCATCACCATCATCAACATTTTTGAAGAGACCTGCGATCTTTTTAGACCTTTTTTATCATGGGAGAGTCATATAAAAGAGTGTCTTATATTCTGAAGCATGGTTCACCCACGACCAGCTAATTTATCAAGAAAGGTTTATTTATACTAATATAATATGATATATTTATTTCCGTCCGTGTGGATTTTGCATGGGTTTGATTTTTGTTAAATTTATTTGCTTACTATTTGACAAAACAGAGATTGTTGCTTTTGTGTGTGTTGATCTATGACTTTAGAGTCTACAGAAAAGACGATTTCAAACCCTATACCAACCCGTCTGGCCAGCGTGGTATAGTAGGCCAAAACCTCCTTCCCAAAGAGAGGCCTATGTCCAGCAGTGGACAATTAAAGTGTTGATGTGATAAAAACATTCCAAGTCGTTTGTAGTTTTCTACTTAAGATTTAGTATGATTATAGTTCCTAACGTGTGCAAAGTCATAAAACTTATGTTTTATTTATGTTTTATGATGAAATCTGTGCCACTGTTGATTACACAATAAATAAAAGAAAACATATTCACGGTCACCGTTTTATGCTGTCGTTAACAGAGGTACTACTTAATTTTACTGCATAAGCATGCGTATTCATAAACTACATATGTGCAATTTAACTAATTAAAGTACATACTGAATGTTTTGATATTTTTTCAAGCTCAAGGGCAGTTACATAAATATTTATATCTGTCAAACGTAACCAGACGGCACGACGACCGATAGACTAAGACAGTTACTGAATGGTGCCCAAGGCGGCCTCATGGCAGAGCACCTTTTTTTTTTCCGTGCAGAAATCCCCTCGGATACCACCTGTCGGTGGCATGTCGGACTCGAACCGACTAAAACCGCACGCCGTCTCGGGTACTAATAGCCGGGGAACCAGGTATACCCTAGAAAGGAAGTCCCTGGTGCCCCGACATACCTCGGGTCATCTACAGACGCTTCGCAACGCGCTCGCCGCCACCCCGGCCGGAGAACAATGGATCTGGCTGGCACAAAACCGCCAGGAGTGGCGTGATAGAGAAGAGGCCTCTGCCTAGCAGTGGGGGCAACAGACTGCCAGAGTGCTACTGTTCTTTTGTATGGAATTTGCTGCGGTATATGTGTTACACATATACCCAAGCAAAGAGAAGGAAAACTAGATACAGACCCTATACCAAACTGTCTGGCCAGGGTGGTATGGTAGGCTAAAACCTCCTTTCTAAGGAGTACATAAATCCTACTAATCTATATTTATACATTAATACTATACATACGTTAATATATATATACACTAATTTCCAACTATTAGAGACAGATAATCCTCATATAGCATAGTCTTGAAGGTGGTCACGGACTGCGCACGCACGATAGAAATCGTACAAAAGTGTGTTTTTGTTACTACTATAGTTTATATACATATATTTACATATATACCTTATTTTTGGTCCTTTGCCATTAATGATGATTATTATCTCACCAAAGATTAAAAGTAACATGTTAGTAAGTCACATATAGGGGGGCCAAGTGCCTGCCGTCTCCTTCTGCGAATCAGTTATGCTCGCGAAGGAGACGGCGGAACGGGACCGGGAGAGGTTTAGGACTCTCCCGGCCCGCCAGGCCCGGGAACGGGCCAGGTACCGCAGGCGCCTCAGGCGCCGGAGGTCGCAGAACGACCTCCGTCCTCCATAAGCGCAGGTCTGGGGGTGACAGGTGAGGCCATCTGTCACCCTAGCAGAAGCAGGCCGGAGTGGCGGTGAGCGCGTTGCGAAGCGTGCTCGCTTCCAGGGAGCACAGGGAACATGGGGTTCCCACACGGGGGGGGGGGTCGTCTACTCGTCTGTAGATGACCCGAGGTATGTCGGGGCACCAGGGACTTCCTTTCTAGGGTATACCTGGTTCCCCGGCTATTAGTACCCGAGACGGCGTGCGGTTTTAGTCGGTTCGAGTCCGACATGCCACCGACAGGTGGTATCCGAGGGGATTTCCGCACGAAAAAAAAAAAGTAAAAAAAGGGGGCCAAGTGCCAGTTTATTTCACATCGAAACTGTACACAAAAGTCCTGACCCATTTCAGCGCCTATCTGACGTAAAAAGAAACAGGCGCAACGACAATAGATAGTGCTTACACAGCGCTAAAACAAGGATGATGAGTAAAAGTTTGCTATGTATTGCGCCAAAAAAATATAATAAACTGCCATCCTACATTAAAAAATTAAAATTGACTTATTTAAAAATATATTAAAAAATATCTTGGTTGCGAAATGTTATTGTAGTGTTACTGACTTTATGAATGACAGAATTGTATAAAGGGAAATCATGGTTTTGACATGAAATTGCTGACATTTGTTTGTTAAAATTTATTGTATCACTAGCTGAGACCCGCGGTGTTACCCGCGTTTGTTGTTATGACCGCGGGCAACGCCGCGGGGCGAAGCTAGTCTAAAAAAAGTAGCCTAAGTTACTCCTTATGTCATCAGCTATCTGCCAGTGAAAGTCCCGTCGAAATCGGTCCAGCCGTTCTAGAGATTACCCGGAACAAACAGACAGACAAAAATTGTAAAAAATGTTATTTTGGCATATGTACCGTGTAAGCATATATATGCATTTAGTAAAAAGCCGTTATTTTAATATTACAAACAGACACTCCAATTTTATTTATTTGTATAGATAGATTGACTACGCAAATTTAACATACCTATATTTTTCTTTTATTATGTATATTTGTAAAAACTATTTTTTTTTTGCACGCCTTGAGGTAGAATGTGGCTGCTCACTGTTGTACCTTTATTAACACCTTAATATGTATACCCATGTTCGCAAAATAAATTATTTGATTTGATTTGATTTGATCGACTCGCTCTCGACGGCGTGCGCGTTTAGCGTTGCGATTGGTGGAGATTTCAGTGACGAGCACTTGGGCCTCAGAACATGCCTTAGTACGTGACATAAGACACTACTGTATTTTTAGATATAAAAAGAGGCAATAATTCTAAAGATCCTGATCAGGACAATAGGACAAATTTATTTAATTATTGTTTTGTCATCAATCTATACAAATAAATAAAATTGGAGTGTCTGTTTGTAATATTAAAATAACCGCTTTTTACTAAATGCATATGTATGTTTACACTGTACACATGCCAAAAAATTACAATTTTTTGTCTGTCTGTCTGTCTGTCTGTTTGTTCCGGGTAAGCTCTGGAACGGCTGGACCGATTTCGATGGGATTTTCACTGGCAGATAGCTGATGACATAAGGAGTAACTTAGGCTACTTTTTTTAGACTAAACGCGGTTATAACAACAAACGCTGGTAACACCGCGGGTCTCAGCTAGTCCTTAATAAGTATGCGAAGTTTCACTTTAATCTAAAGTTTTAAAGTGGATGATAATATCGTTCAAAGATTCCGTGACATTGATACATATATGTATACAAAGCTAATAAAAGAGTGTTAAACAGATCATGCAAGACTGTGGCTTTAAGGTTGTAAAAGGCGAGAATTTTATTTGCACGATGCTGAATTGGTAGTGCAGTTTGGCTAGCCTTTAGTAGATGATATTGTAACATAACGTACTCTTTGTTTTCCGTGTGGTGACGGATTAAGAATACGTAATGTCAACACCCCTATTCATCCCGTGGGTGTCGTAAAAGTTGACTAAGGGAGAAAACTACGCTAGACAACAGCACTGCAAAGAGAAGGAAAACTTGAAACAAACCCTATACCAACCCGTCTGGCCAGCGTGGTATAGTAGGACAAAACCTCCTTTTAGGGGGGAGGCCTATGTCCAACAGCGGACTATTATAGGCTTATTATGTGATGTGATGTACTCTTGATTCTGTCAAGAATTTTTAAAAGGCAACTCACTAGATATCTTACCGCATTTATAAGCTAGCGTCTGATTTAATTGTCTTCAAGACACTTGAAGCTAAGGCTAGCTAAACTCTCAGATTACCTCGTGACTATCCAACACGTGACCATGGCAAGTTCCGTGTGTTCTGCAAACACGTACAAAAACGGTATGACCATAACCAACATAAGTAAAAATAAATAGTAGAGATCGCCTGGCAGTTGAAATTCGGCCATTTTAAATGTAACTTGAACTATTTATACTTATAAAATTATTTGTCCTGACTGACTAAATAATTCATCAACGCAGACCCTAAACCGCTGGGGCTATAAACTTGACATTTTGTCAGCTGATGCTTTTTAGGTTCGAAGAAGGAACGGGTATGTTGGTCAAGTGGTTAGTGACCCTGACTGCTAAGCCAAATATTGTGTGATGAGCACGGTCATTTGTTCAGTGTCTGGGTGTAATTTATCTATAACTAGCTGAACCGGCAAACGTTTTATTGCAAAACAAAAAAAAAATAGGGATGGGTCACCCTTACCATTTAGGGGTATGAAAAATAGATGTTGGCCGATTCTCAGACCTACCCGATGTGCACACAAAATTTCATGAGAATCGGTCAAGCCGTTTCGGAGGAGTACGGGAACGAACATTGTGACACGAGAATTTTATACATAAGACTAGCTGACCCGGAAAACGTTGAATTGCAAAACAAAAAAAAATT